AAAATAAGGGACAATCCAATATCGTGAGGAACTAGCAAGAATGACAGAAATGAAGACGAAAATATTCTGTAGAACTAAACCGTGCCAGCAAGAAACGATTCTGATGAGAACTCATGAAGTTCCTAAACAATACTAAACAGTGCTAGTCACAAGCTGAACGATCTATATCTCAGCGTGCTCAGACCAAATGAATAAAAAAAAACCATGATGCATACTCATAAACAATTTTGATTAACGTCTCTGGAAACAGAAAAAGATACTGCATACACTTTTCTGAAAGAATATTCACAGCGAAAATATATAATTTTCACAGCATAGTTGATCAGCTTTCATCTCGTTTTGTTTGTGGTCCCATATCTATGTAGGTAGTGCGCGATTCCTTTCCTCCTCATGATGTTTAAATTAGCTAAAACACCACATGCGTCATCTTTAGATTTTCATAGGACAGATCAAGTCATCCATTATTCAGATTCACTGTGTGAAAATTACTCAGCATTAATACGTCAATTTTTGGGCGGGAATTAGGAGTTTAAAGCAAAGTAAAATACCTTGTAATTACCATGTACATGTATTTTACATATTACTTCATCCTTCTCAATTTCAGCTTTCGGGCGACAAAAAGCAGCCAAACAGATTATGTGAAATGTTATGATAGATCAGTTATGTGTCATGCAGGTTCACAGACGTCCCATTGTAGTACTTGCGAACTTTCTGCACCGGTGAATTTTTTAACTCTTATCTCTGTGCAATTACTAAAAATTATCTAACTCATTTTCTAGGCATTGCATAAATATAACGACTTTCACTGCCAAACACATATTGCAAGCGGAGTTGAGTTTGGTACGCAGATATACCCGGAAGACGTGGACAGCAGTAGTCTCAATGTAAAGCACAATAAGACACATAATGACTTCGAACTCGAGGATATTTGGCGTAATATCGAAACACAAACTTCTACTTTTGCTGGTAATGATGCACTGACGCAGACGGCTATAGATTTCATAGACAGTGCAAGTATGACTGACTGGGACCTGATTATTTGATGAGGTGTGTGAATTATTGCTTTGGCGAGCCTGTGTTTAATTTGCAAGTACGAGAACCCATACTCACTCCGCATTAAATTATTTTTAATGAGTAGACATTAAAAAAACTGCGGCGGATGCTGCTTTTTTTTCGAAGAATCAAATTTAAAATCCCTTTCGATCCTTCAAAAAATTGCTCCGAACAATTATGATAGAGAAGGAAATTTCAGTTGTAATACGCGAATTGTAGTGCAGATGTTTTGGTCGATGCGTGTCACTCAGTATTTATGCAAGTTACTGTTCCACAGACAAAGTATAAACGTTCCATATCACGTCTAAAAGTTCAAACAGCACTTTTGGTTTTGGAAAAATTGTCCATAAAACGTAGAAGATGAGCAGGTCTTGGCAAACACTGAAGACAACATAAAGAATCATTAAAAACTGGAAGAGTTTAAATTCATAAGTTTTAAGATAATATCTACAAAGGAAGACTGCGTTATAATGCTCTTCCGGAACAAAGGCAGCAAGATATCATCCTGTGTTGCCTCAAGATAGGACCTAAAAATGCTCCAGAATTCAGAAACATTCTTTAACTAATTTCGAGCCCTAGATAAATTTGGAACGCAGTTAATTGTGAAAAACGAAATTAGGAAAAATGACACTTTATTGTATATTACAGCTAGAAAGATGTAGGACAAAAAGAAAACCGTAGCTTTATATCTCTCTCTACATTGTACATCTCCTTGCAACCTTCTCTGCACCGGAGAGACCTTGAAAAAAGTGCCAACTTGTCATCGTTCATTTACGAAGTGGAAGGAAAGTGTCTGCCCCGAAATCGTAACCCGAAAAGATATTTCGTGTAACTATTAAGAACTTAGTACACTAGGACACCAAGACGAGCATTTTATATTCTTTTGAGTAATGAACTTCAATATTCATATATATATA